TCATGCCTCTGAGTCCTCCACTCCACAGGCCAGCCCTCTTCCCATCATGCCTCTGAGTCCTCCACTCCACAGGCCAGCCCTCTTCCCATCATGCCGGGCCCACTCCCTGTCAACCCGGCTCACAGCACATTTTTCTGCACCAACCATAAGCCCTTATCCAAGGATTCTGCCAACATGAGACTAACTGTCACAGTAATGATTGGCTCTACCTTGGCACAAAACTGGGCCTCACAGCAACTTCTCAGCATATCAGTATGGCAGTTAGTATCTTGTATCTTAACTATTAATTATCTTAATTATTTGATGACATGCCCCAGTAGGCTGGGAGCACCCTGGGAGCAGGGGTATGCCTTATTCCTATCTGTTACCCCTAGTGACTGGTACAGTCTTTGGCATTTAATAGGTACTTAGTAACTGCTATCCAAACAAGTCCCATGCAGCCAGGTAAGAAGCCTAAATAGATTTCACGAGCTGAGATTTGGGGCAATATTCATTGATAGGCGATGGAAGGAATGACCCTTGTAATAGTAGCCTCAGTCATGAACGAGGACTGATTCAAGTGTGTAAACAGGCATCATGAGCTATGAGTCTGGGAAAGGGGGTACCCAGGAAGGATTGGGCTTAGGATGGCCTTTTGGGAACAGCTGAGGAGTCTTAATGCCATCCTGAAGATTGTGAGGCAGAAGGAGGGACAAAAATCTAGCTTATTCTTAAAATGGTCCTGTTATAGCTGAGATCAAAGGCTTATTTAAAAAAATTTTAAAGATTTTATTTTGTACATGTGGGCATTTTATCTTGCACCACATGCATGCCTGGTGCCCACAGAGACCAGAAAAGGGCAACAGATTGTCTAGGACTGGAATTACAGATGGTTGTGAGCCACTATGGGTGTATTAGGAATTGAATTCGGGTCCTCTGGAGGAGCAGCCAGTGCTCTTAACTGCTGAGCCATCTCTCCAGCCCCAGAAGGCTCACTTTTAATTAATCTTCTGAATTATGTATCTACTGTGGTGGTGATTGTTCTATGCTTATGTTTAACTGAAATGAAGTATCTGTAAAATTGTTTTTGTTTCAGCCCCTATTTTATTTTATTTTATGGGTATATGTGCACATCTGAGTGCTATGTATGTATATATGATCCAGGGGAGGCCAGATGAGGGATCCCCTGGACCTGGAGTTCCAGTGGTTGTGAGCCATCGTGAGGGTGTTTTATAAGAGCTCTAAGTGTCTTGATAGCTGAGCCATCTCTCCAGGCCTGTTTATTTCAGCCAGTGTTTACTTGTCACTACTGTATTGTTTCACTGGACAGGAAGTAGGGGGATAGCATTGGGAGGCTCGTGTGCCCATTTCTGAACTCCTCTTTTTGTCCACAGTGAGTGACAGAAACTGGCTCCTCACCCTTGAGAGGAATGGAGCTAAGGTGTGTTACCTCAGGTTCTCGGAGCTCTGCGAAGACCAAGCCCATGTGGTCCCTGCTCTTCCAAACGTTCCTCTTTCTTCCTTTCTCTCTGTCTTAGCTCCTCCCTCCACACAACGTCTCATGAGGTTACTCTCTAGGCAAAGGGGAATGTTCTGGACGACTTACTTTTTTTTCTGATAATAATCTTTTAAATTTTATTTCATCGTGAATTAGGTTTTTCTTGGTTTTATGTTTTAGAATCTTTTTGGTAAGATTCATACAGAGCCTAGTAAAGTCCATGTGTTGTCCATGTGGTGGAGGGGGTGAGCTCCCTTGGCTGCCCATCACTACCTACCTCAGTGCAGTTAGACCTGAGCCAGACCGTTTCTATCCCAACTGAACCTTGAAGAATGATTGTCATGGGGGGCGGGCATCTTTGTTTCTGTCACCGTGGCCATCTGCTTTTCTGGTTAGTTCACAGAGCTACAGGGTGTCTCTATACGTTTCCCTACTCTCACAATAATGCTTACAACATCATGAGGAGCCATGATATCTTGTCAGCGTTCTGCCAGAATGAAAGCTAAGAATCTCTAGGCCAAAGGTTTTCTAGGTTACCGGGACTCAATGGTAAAGGAGTCAACCTGATTCACCCTCATTGTCACCACGACCAGCTATGGTAGCTATTGACTCATTCCTGTGGCCTCTTCAAGTACACTGCCCTCAAGTGACCACAGCTTTTGTCTAGAACTGATGGGTGACTAACTCATCAACACTGTCTTTCACAACTTCAATGGGCAGTGCAAATGCCTGAACAGAAGGCCGCCTACGTGCTCAAATGTGTACCTCAGGGTGCCATGAGCTGAGGACCAGGGGGAAGTTCCTCATGAAGTGATTCAGGTTCCATGTGAACACCATCTCCCTGAGGCCAATGCCACCAACAGAGAAAAGCTGCAAACATCCAAAAATCTGCTGCCAGAGTAACTGGGTAGAATGGGGTCTCCTGCCCAGGCCTGCTCCTCCTTTCTCACAGGGGTGAGTGCCCTGAGGGGCATAGGGGAGGGAGAAAGCAACAACCCCCCCTTTCTTTTGGAACCACATTCTGTGAACTTCAACTCATTTGAGTGAGTGAATTGGCTCTACAAAAGCTCACTCGACTAATGGAAATCATCGAATTTCCTCAATTCCCTCAAATGTGGCAAGAATAAATATATAAATATGTCAAAGTATTAGCTGACACAGACTCCCATGTAACAGAGAGCATGGAATGTATTATTAGTGATCATAATCATGACAAGCAGGAATCCATCCATACGTATTTTCACAACTACTGACACAAAACTGAAATTTTATAGAACGTATATGTGCTGGAAATAACAGCTGTAGCTGCTCAGAGAGGGCCAGTCCACAAGAGAGAAGGGGCGGAGCACAACGTAAGATAGACGCTCTCTAGGGTATGTATTCATGGCTGATACCTGGGCCATACCAGCAGCCTGCTTAGTCCAGGATGAAAGTCGATTTCTAGTAATTCCAAGTTCCTTATAAAGGAGTGGCCTTTGTAGAATCATTGCATGACCCATGCTACAGAGCAAGTCAGCAGGTGTATTAGAAGGCAAATGTCTCCCTTTCAGGGGAGCTCTCCTTACCTTCTGCCACATGTTGATGAAGAAGAGTTCCCGAGAAACATTGAAGGATACGTTGGCATCATAGGCATCGTCCCCAAGGTTGGAGATGGAGATGTTTAGAGAGATATTCTTCACAGCCCCCAAAGCTAGGTATGGGGTTTTCTCATCAACACTGCCAAGAAAAAAAAAAAAAAAAACAGCAATTAGTATTCTTACACTGACAGTGATGTAACAGGGCACCAGCAGGTAGTGTGGAGGTGTTGGGATGGGACGACAGCTCTCAGGAGCCCCATCCACTAGGCACATGGCCTCGGAGAACCAGCACCCATGGGTCTCTGGTGTTTTGTTTTTGTTTTTTGTTTTCCTTAGAACAAGGGCTTCTGTGCTTTTGAACTCACTGGACTGGCACATGGCTCACAAGAAACTCTGTACATCAGACTTGGAAAGCTTAAAAACATTTAGAAAGCTTTATGTGAAATTCATTCACTGAGTTCTTTTGAGCAGATGCTGTGTTTTTGTCCTCTTAGGTGTGATGTTTAGTGTTGACTGTCAGTGTGACGGAATCGTGAATTGCCTGCGAGATGGCCTCTGGGCATGCCTGTGTGGAGTGTGAACTGAGGTGGGAAGACACTTCCTCATGTGGGCAGAGCTCTCCCCTGGGCATGGATTGCAGACAATGAAACAGAGAGCTGAGTACTAGTGCTCATCTCTGCTTCTTAGTGCAGACACAATGAGCCAATGCTCTTCAGTGCCTGCTATTGTGACTTCCTGCCATGACCCACTGTAACCTGGAAGTGTAAGCCAAAATATACCGCTTCTCCTTCAAGCTTCTTTGGTTAGAGATTTTTATCCTAACAAGAGGAAAAGAAAGTTAGACCCTAGAAACAGTTGTATGTAACTTCAAGGAGATAGAAAAATGCATATGCAAAGCAAATATACATAACCAGCTGGAGACACCTTGGAGGGAAGGAAGTACCTGATCTGGAGGAGTAGCTGCAATTTTGAATACAGTAGTCAGGGAAGCCTCCATGAGGAAGTGACCTCACTAGAGAACAGGATTTGCAGAATGGAGGGCTTCCCAAGAAGGGTCTCTGAGGTGGGCACAGAGCTGGCATGTTCAAGGAAGAGAAGGAGGCCACAGAGGATTGCCAGATCTGTAGGTCCTAGTGTATCGCCATCAAGACCTTGGTATAAATGTGTTACAGATGGAGCCCCTACCAGCTCTGAGCTGAGAAGTAATGGCTCTTGGGGTCCATGTCAGGAGGAGGCTCCTGCTGGATATGATGGAAAGAGTCTATGGAGCATGCTTGAGAGAAGTTGGGTGAGGTGTCTCCTGCAATAAGTCAGTTGGAAGAAGGGGAAAGGTCAGGCCAGGCAGGTGCTGCTGAAGCATGGAGAAGAGCCATGTTGGAGATGTTTCTAAGGTTGTGCCAACCTTGGATTTTTCTCCGGAGGAATTAGATGAGGGATGTTAGCAGATGAAGAGCCGATGGTGGCTCCAGGGCTTGGGGATTCAATAACTGCATTTGGGCTGCCATTTAGTGAGATAGGAGAGACTGTACATAGAGAAAGCTTAGCAGAGACAAAGCAGATGCCTGTTGCAGCTTATAGGAAACACAGAGACAGCCTGACACATGAGCTGGGAGTTGGAGGAGGCGGTTGGGTTGGAGATCTACACGTGGGATAAAGACGAAGGACACGAGAAAGTGAGTGTAGAAGAAAATGCGCTTTCTCATTTAGAACCTGAAGAGGAGACAGGTGCAGCTGTCTGGAGGAATGTCAGGTTTGTCCAGCATGGAAGTAGGTCCAAACAGCAGGAGGATTAGAACTGATGACTGAAATGAGTCACATAGAGCAGGGCTTCTTAGGCTTTCTCTACTTGTGAGTCTTTGTGACTCACTTAGTTTCATTCACATTGCTGTGATAAAATACCCCAATAAAGCAACCTACAGGACAAAGGGTTTATTTCAGATCACAATTTTAGTTTTCAATGTGGAAGAAAACTTAAAACACCTAACTACACCACCTCCTCAGTCAACAGCAGACAGAGAATAAATGCATGCTTGATTATTACTCAGCTCGGGTTCTCTCAACCCAGATGATGGTGCCACGCACAGTGGACTGGGTCTTCCCAATCAATGTAATCAAGACAATCCCCCATAGAGATGCCTACAGGCCAGCCTGATCTATACAAATCCTCACTTTCCTCCCAGATGATTCTACAGTATGTCATGTTGACAATGAAAACCAATCAATACAGTGTCTTAGAAGTTTTTACATGACCCTGGGTAAATAAGTGTATGAAACAAGTATACAGTTCAAACACTTATTGGAAACAAATCATAAATCTATTTTAAGATAATTCTTTGGTATACATATAAATTGAATATTTATTAAGGACTAAAGCAAGTTTGTATACAAATGACATGGGTATGACTATTTGTGTAGCACAACAATCCATGCACACACTAATTTGTGCTGCTTATATAATCATGGGTATGTGGCCAAAAACTGGACTTAGTGGGTCATGAAAAAGAGAACATGAAATTGGGAGGAGTTGGGGAGGTAGGGGTGTGTCTGGGAAGATTTAGAAAGAGGAGGGGGTAACTATGATCAAAATAAATTGTAAACATGTATGAAAGACTCAAAGGATAAAGATATTATTTAAAACAGATTTAAAATATACTCATTTGAGATATAATAAAGGGTAATGGTAGGAAATTATTAAAAGCCGTTGTTTTCTATAATTAAATCATTATGTTTCTATAAAAGCAGAAATCATGGTATGTACAGTAAAAAAGCTACAATCTGTAAGAGAGTGACCAGCTGCCCGGACGTTCAGGCAGCATTCTTTGGCACCATGGCATGACGGCACATTCAGTAGAGTCCAGAATGGTGGCACTACAGAGAAGTCAGGGGGTGCAATTGCCAGAGATACCTCAAATCTGCATTAAATAGTAGTTATCGTGAGTTGAGAAACCTATCACTACCAGGATTTTGCAATCCCATGTTCAGCTACAACAACCCCGTATTGGGTTGTGACCCACACTTGAAGCGTTGATGTACACAGAGGTCACTGGTGACCTTGTTATGAATTCCACGAGTGAGTCAGGGCAGAAAGCCTGACTGGAGTGAGAGGGGAGTCCTTGAGAACAGTGAGTACAGGTGGGTATCGGGAGGTGTTCCTTTCAGTAAAGTGGAATGGAGAAACAGGATAGAAGCCACCAGGGAAGCAGGCTGTGGAGATGATTTTTAAAGGATGGCAATTATAGTGCATTTGCACATGAATGGGAAAGATCCACTGGAGAAGGCACAATGAGTGAGCATGTGACAAGGGGCAGTTGCTGGCGGGGCCTGGCGAACACATGGAAAGGCTGGGGCCGAATGAGCCGAGCATGGCACAGCTGCTGAGTATGGGTAGAGAATTCAGGCTCCTTTGTACTTGGCATTGAAAGTGACTCAGAGTCAAAGACAGGGAGAAGAGAGAAGGGGAGGATGTTGGGTTGTGGCAATGGCAGGGAGAGCGGGGGAGTGAGTGGGCCAAGGATGGTAACGACGGGGATGGAGGCGGTAACAGAGATGAGTCCCGAAGGCGGTAACAGAGATGAGTACCAAGTCATGTAAGCTCTGGGCGAAATGAAGTCACTCCAGTGGGATGTGCAGAAGCCTCTGAGAGTCTGTGCAGTGGACAGTTGTTACTTTTGGCTGTTTGGCTCAGAGACTCTACGATAGATGTGAAAGGTACATCAACAGATAGGGAACAGGTAAAGCTGTGGGTACCTGAGTAAGCAGTCTTGTGATCTAAGGATGTTTGTTCAAGTGGCCTTACTTTGGTGATAATGCTCCCAACCACAGCTCTGAATTTTGAGGGTTTCACAAAGACATTATGGTCCTGTGATTATCTGAGGTGGCTGCAGAAGTTTTGAAGACCCAGAAGACGCTTGCCTTGTTTCCTGTTGAAGTTGGTTGCCCCCTCCAAGTGCCTTGGCAGCCTCATCTAAACCAGCTTGTATCTTTCCAATAAACTAGACTTAAATTAACTGGTATATGTTATGTGGTCTGCAGCAATTAACATAGCTAATACAGCATGCAAGAGAAGAGAACTATTCAAACACTCAACAGGCTACTATTCTTTGAAATATAGACTTTGGGGGAAGGAACCGCCATTATCCATCTCCGGAAAGAAGCCCCCTCTCTAGCGCGTCTGGCATGCCAACAAGAAAAACATGCTCAACAAGACATCTGATGGCCTTGCTTTGGAAGCGAGAGCTCCAGGGATCCAAACAAGATGTGAAAAATTAACTTAGAGAAGAGTTTTAAATTCTTGAATGGCCTCCAATGAATTAAGACCTTGACCCCAAGCTATTGTGGCAATGATTTATTATTGTTGGCCACTCTGGTTTTAAACAATTGATGGGTTATTTCTGTCCCCATTTGCTTTTGTAACATGAAAGGAAGACTCCTCAGACCTCGAATCATGAGACAGCATTCATCTAGCTTTATCAAGAGAAGGACCTGCACACGCTCTCACAGACGGCCAGTCACCTCAGAGTGACCAGTTTCTGTGGGATATTAAACAGAGAGACCACAGAGGTAGGCACAGCGCCACAGGCTAGAGAGCTGCCGCCTCTTGTCAGTGTCGTAGTTCACAAGACTAGTCTCTTTCTCCCATGTATAAATGCCAAGGAATCAGGCCAGGGACATCTGAACTTATGCCAGCCCCCACAACACGGGCCCCTGCCACTTAATCACACAGTAAGGTCACTCCTGGGTTTTCATGGTCAAGTGATTCCAGCTTGGCTCTGCAATTAAGGAAAGCCAGGCACCTTCCAGGGTAGAAGTGAACTGAAAACTTTTTAAAAGAGACCTCAAAGTTGTTTTCATTCTTTCTCTAAAGCTAAAACTCTATAACCAAAGCCGTAGGCTGCTGCTCGCTAAGTTATTCTTAGAAATGAAAGGAAAATAGAGTTTGCAGCATGGAGCCGGGTGCTGTCAAACAAGCCTTTCTGAAACTTCACAGGAACTGAAGAGTAACGCTTCCCGAGAGGAGGAAATCGCGAGGCAGAGAGCTCAGGAGGCTAGGTGGAAACTGAGGGCCTCCCATGTCTACCAAGCCTTCTCCTCTCCACTGTCACTCATGTCCTTTTGTCCCGTCTGCCATGGTGCCAGGAG